GAATCGTAGTCATGTCGTAGCCTAATCGTAGACATGCCGTTGTCGAATCGTAGTCATGCTGTTGTCGAATCGTAGTCATGTCGTAGTCGAATCGTAGTCATGTCGTAGCCTAATCGTAGACATGCCGTTGTCGAATCGTAGTCATGCTGTTGTCGAATCGTAGTCATGTCGTAGTCGAATCGTAGTCATGTCGTAGTCGAATCGTAGTCATGTCGTAGTCGAATCGTAGTCATGTCGTAGTCGAATCGTAGACATGTCGTAGCCGAATTGTAGGCATGTCGTAGCCGAATCGTAGTCATGTCGTAGCTGTATCGTAAAGAATTGTGGTAAGACGTGAACGTTGCGTTTTATAGAGCACCGTACACTCGCATCATAATCGCCGGCAGCGTAATGTTGTTACGATGGATAGAAACATATCTTTTTCATAGCCATATCGTAGCGATTTCTCGTGGAATCCAGCAGTGTCGTAACAGAGTCGTATATCGAAATAAATTTAAACCATTTCAAGGCCTGTTTTGAAAGCTGTTTTCTGATAATATAAATATATGTAGTATATCGATATACCTCGAGAATAACAATGCTTTAATGGCTAGTATTTGACGCCGAGCTAGCAAGTATAATATAAATATATGTAATATAAATATATGTAGTATATCGATATACCTCGAGAATAACAATGCTTTAAAGGCTAGTATTTGACGCCGAGCTAGCAAAGTATAACATATATTGACCCCCCAAGGGACTTTGATATATGCAAGTACATATAACAAGTACATTATAGGATAGTCAGTGTTTTCATCGAACCAAAAGCTTACAGATGCTATTCTTCTCATTGAAATACCTTAGCATACTGATAACGACTGTCTGTTTGAAATGGATTCTTTGATATTTCCGACAATGAAGGGAAATGACTGTACAGTATTTAATACTATCTAAGTGCTTTCTTACATTTGTGATAGCCATGGAGATATCAACACTTACGGTCCATTATCAGCTCTTTAGAATAATCATATATAAGAATACTAAAAGATGTGAGATGATGAGAGTCTATGTGGGAGATTCAATGTGATATGACCGTGTTAAGAAGGCAAGCTTGCTTTAACACATATTACAGCATTTTGCCTCGGCGAGGATACGATTATCATCGATAAGATGATAATGACAATTATCATYATCCATCTTCATCATCATCATTTGAGCGCGAAACTCTCCGMACGCTGCTTAACGTRAATCCATRCGACAAATCAACACTTTGGTCGTTTTGTATAAGCTTGGCTTAACCGTTAGATTCTCAGCGGTTTTACATTTAAATTTAATAATAATAAYAGTATATATATAATAATTAATAGTTTTTTCTACATTTTTCCTTTCGCTTTGTTACGTAAATTTACTTGAAATCTTTCTGTGTTTGTTTTCTTTCCTCAAAAACTTTCTAAACACTATATAAATTAATTTAACCACTTTAAATAATGATACTTTTAAGTAAAAATAATCTTAATGAATGATGGCAAAATGTCAAGGAAATGTCTAATCTGCTTTTCTTTCTTCTTTATTTTAAATATCAACTTCTGAAATCTAACTTTCTGGGTATGTGCGCGTTATCTTACCATATGCATCTTAGTTGTGAACCGTTCAATSTAGAGAACAGCTGGRACTTTATCTGTTGGTTCTAATGCATGAATGACCCTCAGGCATACAATGTTGTAAAACAAAGATTGCATCTCGCTTGATCATTATATTCAAAGCGTATTTCTCTTAAAAATCAAATAGTTTGAACTAAAATGGTTGTGAGGTTTTTGTTTATTTTTCAATCAAATATTAACAATGTCTAAAATTGCTAAATTGTACACCAAACTGATGACACATCACCACAGTATGAGATTGACTGATTATATTCATTCTTACGCGCGCTCTGATTGGTCCAATATAGACTCGTTATTTTGCGCGCTATGATTGGTCCAATATACAATGTTTGTTTGCGCGCTCTGATTGGCCAATATACATTGTTTCTTAACGCGCGCTCTGATTGGTTATATTTCGATTGGTTCTTACACACATTTTCATTGAACCAATATTATGGTTCTTACGCGCGCTCTGATTGGTTAAATAACAAGCCTTTGTTTCAGCGATAAATGTTTCGGGGTTTTTTGCGTATTTCTATGAAAGCAAGAAAGGATAGACTGACATTAGTTTATCGTTGCAATGAAGGAGAGCCATAAATACTAGAGCTAGAACACTCAATAAATGTAAAACATTACTAAGCCACACTTGAGACGTATTTTCATGTTTCCTCCGCGTGGTGACTTCACTGATGGGTAACTATAGCAACAATTTCTTGTTATTCATAACACTGATACAATGTCAGTGATATTGATCA